AAATAATATCAAAAAGCAATTTTTAAATGCTAATCATATCAGCAGATTTTTGAAATTTACTATTGAAAATTCTAATAATATTTAACTTTAAATAACTTTTGTTTCACTAGTTCATTTTTGATGAAACAATTACCAAAATGTTTGTCTTGATGAGATGATTCTAATAGACCCAAAATTTTCAAAAATCCAATTACAGGATCCTGAGGTCAATAGAGATTTGTGTCACTTTAGATGTTTTAAGATTAGTTAAACCAATTCTAAAACACCTAAAATAAAATGAATCATTAATAATATCAAGATTCTGTAGTTGGATTTTGACAATTTTGAATCTATTAGAATCATTTCATCGAAATAAACATTTTGGTAATTGTTTCATTGAAAACAGACCAGTAGATCAAAAGTTATTCACAGTTAAATATTATTAGAATTTTTAATAGAAAATTTCAAAAATCTACCAATATGTGAAATCTTGAAACATTACTAATAATTTTCTTAAAAGCATCCTGATTATATATACTAGCAAAATTATTAGCACACAAAAAATATCAAATGCAATTAAAGGTATAATTTAATATTATTTTTTTTTTTAAAAAAAACCAAATATTATAAAATAAAATAACTAAATATATCTTATATTTTTAAATAAGAATTGTTAATTAGGTTTAAATAAATATCTAATTTTTTAAAAAATCCTTAATACCTTTAATTGCATCCAGTATACTTTGCATATTGATAATTTTACTAATATACACAATCAGGATGTTTTGGTGTGACAATTAACATTTTTTGGTTGTTTTGTCTGCTTTTAAGAAATGTTTTTTAATTTTGCATCATCTGACCTTGCATATATTTATTCCAGTTTACAGAAACTTGAAATTTATTTCAAACTCTATTGGGAAAAGGCCGTCTTTCTGGATTTGAATCTATGCACTACAGAGCAATTTTAATATATCAATTCGAAGTTTCATGTGTAAACTCTGAACACAATCCTTTGTAAATTTTGACTACAAATTTTGCATCAAGTTTATATAAATCAAAAGGTTTTTTCTAGTTGCCATCTAGCATAATAATTTCAAAACCATAAATTTTAGCAGCTTTTGTAAACTAATGACCTAATAAAATCTCTGGTGTGTTACATAAGGAATAGCTCCAAAAATCTTATTTTTTGAGTTATCATGATCCTTAAATCTAAGATTGCATTGGCCTTTATTTTGTAAAATATTACTACTTTGAAAGTTAGTGTAAATGTATCCTGCTCTATGAATTTGAAAATTAGTTTTAATTTAGTTTGTCTTAAAAATTTGTGAAGACTCCTATTATTAGATAGAAAGCACATCGATCTAAATCAAAATAACATTACCATTTGATGCAAAATTTTTCAGCATTGTGACAACTATATTAAACAGTTATACTATAAGAACTGGATTATTTATTATAGCTGCCTAAGCTAAGATAAGCTGCCACATTTATTATTATTATTACTAGGAAATCAGAATCTGATAAACGTCTGAAACAATGCATTGTTACCCTGACTGACGATCATCACGAGACCCATACTATCTCGAATTTCATTGGTAGTTTCCACTAGACATTGCATAGATGTGCATCAATTTTGCTCAGACTATTAAATCCTCACTACGCTTTGGACAATTATTATTATTATTATAATAGTCTTCAATTATTCTATCAAAGACAATAATGATAATAATAAAATTTGTTGATCTCAATCAAAAATAATTTTTATTCATCGATACAAAATTATTCCAACTATATTAAATAGTAATGTGCATACAAGAATTTTTTATTTTTATATAAATAAAAAATAGTTAATTATATACTAAACATATTAATCATAATTTTTATCTATTTAAAACATAAATAAAATTATTACTATTTACAAATTATAGAATAAATTTATTATTTGTATACATACCAAAGCCTTTAAAATTATAAATCAGAAATAAATCTAAATAAATAAATAGTAAATAAGATAAATAAATATAAATAAATAATATATTTAAATAAGTATAACAAAGGTTTTAAGGGTAGGGTGAGTGTAGATCATTCTTATATAAATATATTGGCTAAAAAAATATTACACAAAATTTTAATATGTGTTACATATAAAAGTTTTTCAAAATATAGTCAATTCTTGTAAAAACTTTAGGATATATACATTAAGCCCTTCTAATTATATTAATACAATTTTGAACTTTTATTTTATTTAAAAAAAATATACTTACATATATCGTTAATTCTTCCTAAGTTAACCGAAATTTGCCTAAATTACACAATATAAATAACATGTGATCATCACATGATTTCAATTGAATGTTATTGTAAAAAAATTAGTAATGTGATTACTAGTAAAAATGATCTACATTCACCCTACCCTTAATACAGTCTCGGATATTAGTAAACGACTCTTCTAGAATCAATTTATATAGTATTTTTATTTCTTTTTATAAAAAAATCATTTAATAATAAACTTTCAAATTAATTTTAATAAAAATTGTCCTATGATTATGTAGTCTAGGGATCCCCCATGATCCCAAGGGCTTTAGAAGGCAGTTGTTTACCAAATAAGAAAACGAATGGTGATTGGCGTAAATTTAGCCTCATGGATTTTCATAGATTAGTAATAGACTTAAATGGAAGCCTTGAGAATTTCTGATCGTACAAAAAAGGAGGTGATCTGCAACGTCCAAATTTGGTAATATCCGAGACTGTAATATAGATTAATTGAAAAAATAAATACTTTTAAAATGCATTTAAAAATTAACTTAGGCTGATAATTTTACTAGTATATATTTCATCAGGATGCTTTGATATCGGCAATGTTTTAAAGCATCCAAGAATTGCTTTTTAATTTCATTATCGTCTAAACTATCTAATTTATTAAGCCAATTTTCAATTTTCTAAAAGCATCCTTAGCACTAGGCCGTTTTTGTGGATCAGAATCCATACATTGCTTCGCCAGTTCAACATAGCAGTTTTGAGTTTCGGGTGAAAATTCAGGACGCAATCCTTTGCAATCCTTATTGCAGGTTTTATATCGAATTCATCTCCATCAAAAGGTCTTTGTCCAGTCGACATTTCTGACATGATGATTCCGAAACCTTAAATATCAGCAGCTTGTGTAAACTTTTGATCCAATAAAACCTCTGGTGCCACATAAGGCATAACACTATAAATATCGCCTTTTGAATCATTTTCGGTTTTCTTTTTAGACAATCCTAGAACTGAGATATATGTTTGCATATTTTCACTAATGCCTTCGTTTTGTAAAATATTACCACTGTGAAATTCTGCATGAATATAACCTACATCATGAATCATCCATAAATCCCAAGAAATGTCTTTAAGTAGTTTTAATTTAGTTTGCCAGGTAAGATCATGAAAATTTTTTTAAAAAACTTGTGAAGACTTCCATTATTGGCGTATTGAAATACCATAAAGTATTCATTTCACTTTGTTGAGTTAATCCGTATATTTTAAGTTTACTGCCAAATAAGCCACATGTTATATGATTCTCAAACTTTATAATTAAGTAAATAAATCAAATCAAATAAATTATTTATTTAATAAATTGTCGAATAAATAGATTTAACCTACTTCTTTTAAAGAACCAGACAACGTCTTGAGTGCAACAATGCTGGATGCTTCGCGCGATCTTTTATAGGAATAGTTGTCATCATCAATTTATTTTCTTCAATTTTTCGCATACCATCCGACCAGGTTGCTGAATATACAGAGCCGAATCCTCCTTTGCCAATTTCTTTAACATCAGATAAACTATCAAATGGAATCCATTCGATTGCATTTTCACATGCATAGGTTCTAAGTTGGAACTTTTTTATACAATCATCAATATCCTTATTTCTACTTGTCCACCTTGTTGTTTCTAAGTCAGGATAGCATGAAAAACACCATGCTTTATACGTATTATCTTCATCACAATACGCGCATTTTCCATATTTGAAGTCACTTTATAATTACAATATATATAATATATAATATTTTATTTTATTTTATATGTAAATGCTATTTTAAACTTTATATCAAAATGTAAATAATTTTTATAATGAAATGATTTGAAGGGTATTACATAATAGTAGTATTTATGAACTTGGATTGTGGACTTGCTTTGCAGTTTTTAATTCCAATTATTAATAAATGCTCTTTATACTCACACACTGAATGAATAATTAATGCGAATGAAATGATTTGATTTATACAAATTGCTAAACTAAGATTATGCATTTATCGATATGTTTGTTTTAATGGCTTAATGATTTAGTATTCTAGTGCTATATAGTACAATTAAAAATCATTTTATGAAAAAAATTGGAAATCATTTAAAGCAGCTCTTCCCCGGTATTGCCACCATAAAATTGTAGTTACGATATGTGTGATGCATCATAAAAAATTTTATGTTATTGTTTGGGTGTATTAAGTAAACGTTTGTAAAAAGAATAAATTTGAGTACTTTAATTTTGCAATATTTAATATTTCAACTAAACATTCACATAAAAAACAATTTTATATATACTTGCTAAATTTCTGTAAAATCTATTAAGACTTTTCCAATATCATTCTAATTAGCTTTTAAAAAGGTGAAATATATCGAGAATGAAATTATAATATAATTGAAACCTTAGACTAATTATTTCAGTAAGTCATACTTCAACAGCTTTAATATCAGATCAAATTCATCCATGAGGTTGTTTTGGCAAAACAGAAAGTAAAGCAAAGCAAAAGCAAAGCAAAACAAAAAGACAAAGCAAAAAGAAACAAAGCAAAAAGATAATGCAAAACAAAAGAATCAATAACAGCAAAGGGTTAAAGTCTCATATACACCGGGCATGATGTTTTTTATCCATTATCATTCTGTAAATTTACTTTTCAAAACTTCTAACAATTAATGTTAGTGATTTAGAAAAGGAATTATTCAATAAAGCGTATTTATGTTGAATTAATACTATTAGTAAACAAAAATGTCAGATAATAATGCGACAGCAAAATAAGAAAACAATACACACCTCATTTATCAGAGCTATTTTTTGCAATTCCCATAAATCTATGTTAAAATTGTCAGGTACTCCAATGGGGACGCCTCCGGGGAAAGCATTAAAGAGTAAATTTGCAGGAATTGTTATCTCATAGTTTATCATGCCAGAAGTTGTACAAGCAATATCACCATGTTGTAAGAGACCGGTAATTCTATGATGCGGTATACCGGTATTCTGAACAAACATCAATGGCTGGTGATGAAGAGGTGCTGTTCCGAATGAAATCGCCGGATTCGGTACAGTGTTTGGTAATGTTATTGTTGGTTGTGTATTTAGTGGTGGGTTTGATGAGTTTAGCACAGGGTTTGGGATTACATTATTACGTAGATAAAGGAGTGCAAGCATTGCGGCAGTGTCATCTGTTCGACGAGGCCATATTTTTATTGCTAAATAAATTTGGATGTTAGTCCGCGCAGAAAAATACTCCCCTGCTAGATCATTTAAACTATCAAGAGATTCCGTTTCCCAATTTCTACAACCATTCTTGGACTTGCACCTCTTCTATGCGATGGTATTGGTTCGACCTGAATATCAGGGCAATATACACTATTTTGGCCAACAGTAATATCTACATCGTTCCTAACAATAAATTGATCACTCCAACAGTCCATGAAACTACTCAATTTAGATTGTACTGCCCCATGAACACTACTCGTCATATCGTATGCAATCACATTTCCCTTCTTTAAACGGATAAAGACATGAAACTTCTGTTCCTTCTCACAAAATTTGAGGTATCTTTCAAGTGGCACGTCACTGTAAACTATAATTTCTTCTGGCTTCACTTCTATAGTATTCTCTTCTATTGTACTATTTTCTATTACACTGTCTCTCTTGTCAAGTTCGATCAACCTTTCTCTTGCTAAAGCAAACTTTTTTTTTTGGTTGAACATTGTGGGAAAATCTTTTCGATTAATGATTATAGGGGTCATAATAATAATGATGATAATACTTTATATAAAGTGACATATACTAAAGGAGTATTGATACAAATAAGGCAAATGATGAAATCGGGCGTGTAGCAAGTTGCAAAGATAACGCCGTTAGTGTTTATAAATAAATGTATACTGTATATTCAAACAGTGCATTTACTTATGTGCTTACATATCTTTTTATTATAATCTACTGTAATAGAGTGGACAATGCAATTATACTTCCTTTTTCCTCTTTCTCACTTATTTAGTTGGGAATTTCTCAAGTTGCTTATACAATTAGTTGGTGGTATTTTTGTCTTCGATCGGAACTGGAAATAATCAACTTATATTGGCATATCTTGGGGGAGGGATTACTTTAAGTGCTCCCATTATCGATTTTTTTATTTCACTGTCCCAAAAGATTTACAGTAGAATTGTTGACGCACAAGATAACAAAGAAAATTTTGGCAAAATGTTAGATAATATTGAAGGCACTATGTCTTCATTAAATAAATTACAAAGAAATGAAGAAGGTTTTTCAAAATAAGGGATATTACAAAAACTTTCGTAATTTCATTCAAGTTTCAAATAAAATAAAATCATTTGTAAATACGGTATCCCAAAGTAGCACATTTTTTCATTAAGAGTAAATATGAAAATTTATATCAGGAATTTGATTTTTGTATCAAAAATTTACATTTTGCCGTAACTATTGAAGCATTGAAAGATAATTCTTATGCATTAAAAGATAATTCTGAAGACGTACAAAATATATCAAAATTACTAGAAGAACAACGAGAAGGGATTAAAAGTCAAATTAATATTATCTTGCAAGAAATTTTAATTATAAAAAATCAAGTTGGCATAAATTCAATAAATCAGAACTAGTATTATCAATTTTAAACTCAAATTTATCTTTGAGATTTTATTATTAAAAATTTAAAAAGATTGTATTTGCAATAAATTGAAGAGTATTTAATTATTGATTATTTTATATTACTTTGTTATACGATTCACATTGATTTTAAATTGACATACATTATTTTAAAATTTATATTGATTGGAATATAATATGCTGTATGTCAAATTTAATTATACTAATGTCAATATAATGAGCCTTTCGATTAGGTAGAAAACAGTTTAAAATACATTGGTATTTGTAACATTTTATTGAGTATTATTATTTTAACCAGTAATACTATATCTGAAAATCTGTTTAGAAATCATTATTTGATGTGATTAGATGTCCTGTACCATTGCCTACCTTAACTTTTATTAATATTATATTTCTTTTATAATTCATAAAACATCATGTTTAGCAATAAAATAAACAATAGATTTAGAAAAAGATTTATCTATTATAACGCTGTTAATTTTTAACATCTAACCTTTTTATCAACTATACACTAATAAAGTCAAGTCAAATTGGTTGTCAATATGCTAAGAGATAACGTAAATCCCTCCACTCTAATCCTATATCTTCAAAATTAAACCCATTACCAATAAAAATTCTTAAAAAGATCAAAGTATTACTTCTGTAAATTTTGTAAAAAGCCTTTCCCTCCTTCAATACCAATATTAGTACCACGGAGATTAAATCAGTTAGAGTAGTATTTATATAAGGTGCTTCTGCAAACGCCTTTTCTCCTTCAACACCAATATAATTATGGCTAAAGTTTAAATTAATTAGTGTAGTATTCTTATAAAGAACTTCCGCTAGTGCTTTTGCTCCTTTAGAATCAATAATGTTACCGCCAAGACCTAATTCAGTTAGCATTATTTATGTCAAGAGATATAGATATAAGAGTAGTAAAGTGCATCAGCTAATGCTTTTTCTTCCTCTGATCCAAGTTTGTTATTCTAAAGGCACAAAGAAGTTAAGGAGGAGTTCTTTCAAAGCATATTTGCTAACGCTTTTCCTCCTTCATAGACAATATTATTATGACTAAGTTCTAAAGTAACTAATGTATTGTTTTTACATAAAACCTCTGTTAATGTTTTTGCTATCTCAGAAGCGATATTACTACTCCCAAGATACAATGAGGTTAGAACAGTGTTCTTAAAAAAAGTTTCTGTTAGCGCTTTGTACCCTCAGAACCGATTTCATTTTTCATTAAGATTCAAAGAAGTTATAGTGGTGTTATTACGAAAAGCATCTGCTAATGTTATTGCGCCTTCAAAGAGAATATTATTATTCTTTTGAAGATCTAAAGAAATTAGAGCAGTATTCTTCAAATTATCTCTGCTAATGCTTTTCCTTCTTAAATTCCAATATTATTATGACTAAGATTTAAATAAAGTAGTGTTCTTGCAAAGTGCTTCTGCTAATGCCTTTCCTAATATTATTGTGACTAATACTGTATTTAATGAAGTTAGAGAAAAATTCTTGCGAAGTGCCTCTGTAAATGCTTTTCTTCCTTCAGTGCCAATATTATTCTAACTAAGATTCAAAGAAATTAGAACACTGTTCTTACAAAGTGCCTCTGCTAATATTTTTTCTCCTTCAAAATTAATCTTGCTATCGAAAAAATTTAAAACAAAAAGCCTTTACTATTGTTTTGCTTCCTTTAATGTTGTTAGTCGAAATTATTTAGACATTTAGGTATTTAGGCAAATTGAATTTAGGCAATTTCGACTTTGCTATTTTTTTAAAGAAATTACTATTAAAAAATAAATTTAGACATTTAAACATTTAGAAAACAATTTTGACTAACAACATCAGCTTCCTTCAATACTAAAGCTACATCTACAAAGATCTAAGTAGTGGTTTTACAAAGAACAGTTGCTAATGCTTTGCCTTCCTAAATAGAAATACTAACACTTCCAAATACTAAAGAAACCAGAGATACGTTTTTGCAAAGAGCTTCTGCTAAAGCTTTTATATCTTCAGAACTAAGATGATTGCGAATAATTAAGGAAGTATAGTGATGTTTTTACTAATAGCCTCCGCTTATGATTTAAAATTTTCATATCTAAAGTTATTAAAACAAAATTTTAAGGAAGTAATGGTTGTATTTACGCAGAAACTTTCTTGGTATTATATTATAAATAATCCCTTTAATGCATAAATATTTGAGTTCCTTACTTGTTCGTAAAAGTATTGCAGCTAAACAGCGCTTACGAGCTCATCATAGTAGTAATCATCAGGATAACATACCAATAATTTTCATTAAACCATTTATCGATTCCATCTTCCAAATAATAGCTACTAGACTTAGTATAACTCGTGTACTCAAATAATAGCTTGGGATAAGTTGGAAGGATAATCCTGAAAGGGATTATAGAGCTTGTTACATATACCCAATTAACAGGGTCATGTACTGATCAAATGGGGGTCGGGTTGATCGATTAGGAGCACTAATTAAAAGTTTACAAGATCCATTAAATACGACAATTAGAACAGCAAGAGATCAACATTGGAATATCAACAAACCCGATATTTCAACTTATTAGAGTTAAATTTGCCAGTGTGTCCTATTGATAAAATATACGGCATATTTTGCAATTTACACCAAGGCATTTTAAAATATATATTTTTTTTTTTTTTTTTTTTTTTTTTAAGGTGAGGTCATGCCTCGTGTCTTTATTAATATATATGTGTATATACAAA